CGCGAACGGGCTCGTGAGACCAGCCAGGGTGGCTCCCCCTTGGGGCTCCCAAATGATGCCCCTGGCAGCGTTTTGTGACCATGAGGCTCTCAAGAGATACATGTTCGGGGCGCCAAACGGCAATTCTAGCTGAAACGTCCCACCAAAATCGGCGCGAACGGGCTCGTGAGAACAGCCAGGGTGGCTCCCCCTCGGGGCTCCAAAATGATGCCCCTGGCAGAGTGTGAGTGTGAGCTTAACTTATCTTATCTTATCTTGAAATCTCTTCTTATCATATCTTGTGCTATCTTATCTTATCTTGTAGTATCTTATCTTGTCTTGTCTTATCTGGTGATTATCATTGGGAGGAGGGAGGCGCGAGCGGGAGGAAGAAGGGGGAGGAGGAGTGGGAGGCGTCAGAGTAATAACAAGAACCCCAATCCTTAGGATAAGGGGAATAATAGTAGTAGTGGTAGTGGTAGTGGTAGTAGTAGTAGTAGTAGTAGTAGTAGTAGTAGCAGCAGCAGCAGCAGCAGTAGTAGTAGTAGTAGTAGTAGTAGTAGTAGTAGTCGTAGTAGTAGTCGTAGTAGTAGTCGTAGTAGTAGTAGTCGTAGTAGTAGTAGTAGTAGTAGTAGTAGTAGTAGTAGTAGTAGTAGTAGTAGTAGTGGTAGTAGTAGTAGTAGTAGTATTAGTAGTAGTAGTAGTAGTAGGTCGTAGGATGAGGAGGAGGAGGAGGAGAACGAAGAGGAGGAAGAGGAGGAGGAGGAGGAGGAAGAGGAGGAAGAGGAGGAGGAGGAGGAGCAGGAAGAGGAGGAGGAGGCGGAGGAGGAAAAGGATGAATAGGAGGAGGAGGACGAGGAGGACGAGGAGGACTCCAGCCGCGACCCCGCGGATGGGCGGCGGGCGCGCACGGGCCAACGACCAACTTAGGAAATGCCGTTCAGCGTGTCGAGGCCTTTGTGCGCGCGGTCGAGGGTATTCTGGATATGGAGGCCCTCGCTCGCGCGGCCGAAGGTGTTCTGACTGGTGGGGCCTACGCTGACGCGGTCGAAGGTGCTCAGGATATGGGTGCCGTAGTTCCCGCGTTCGAGGGTGATCTGCGGTGGGCGAACGACCAACTTAGGAAATGCCGTTCAGCGTGTCGAGGCCTTTGTGCGCGCGGTCGAGGGTATTCTGGATATGGAGGCCCTCGCTCGCGCGGCCGAAGGTGTTCTGACTGGTGGGGCCTACGCTGACGCGGTCGAAGGTGCTCAGGATATGGGTGCCGTAGTTCCCGCGTTCGAGGGTGATCTGGGTGGGGATAGCGTCGCTCGCGCGGTCAAGGGAGTTCAGGCTGGTGAGGTCCTCGCTTGCGCGGTCGAAAGCGTTCTGGAAGTTCATGGAATCAACGATGGGAACCGCGCCCCCCCAAATATTAGCGTCCCGTTGGGTACTCACTGTGTCGGGCTGGTTCTCAATGTGCTGCTCGGCGGACTGGGGCGTTTTGGCCAGGGCAGTGGTGCCATCGCACAGGTTCTCAAGCGCTGCAATACACGCAGAAACATGCAGATCATCGGAATAATCATCTCTGGCATCGTTCTTGATCTCCAACTACCAGTATAAAGAAAGCCTGAACCGTCAAACGGTCGTCAACAACGGCTGCTCACCAAAGACTTTGTGGGAATCGCCGGGCCCCAGGCGCGCCACCGTGCATCCGCGAACCAATCCGAGGGAGGCACGTAAGGTGCCTCAACCGTAGTCATTGCAAGTCGTGGCCGATGGAGTCGGGCTGCTGGTCGCGGCCAGGCGCGCAATCATTTTTGCCGGGGTGTGCATGCGTGCGTGCGCGCCGAGGTGTCCACCCCCCAGCCAGCGTGCGCACGGCTATACATCTCCAGGAAGGCGCGGTGGTCATGAACAGGCCGCGGAGTCGTTTCCATCGCCCTCGTAAATCGCATGGAATATCTTGTGGGTCGATCCAGGTCGCCAGGCGCTTGGCTATTGTCTTGAAGAGAGTGCCCTTCATCCAGGCCTTGTGCCTAATGTGTTGATGAAGTGCCGTTGTGGTTTCGCCGTGCATCCATCCGCTTGGTAATCATCTGCGTGAAAGAGTTCGCGGTGACTTTGCAGAGGGATAGACGCGCTCTGGCCGCGCACGATCATGGCGAGCCTCTGCGCGACCGATGTAGGCGCGCTTAAACGGATGGGGCCGCCGCTGCGCAGCTAGGTCCACGATGCCACAAGCTTGGTCTGCCAGGTCTTGGACTTGCTGGTGTAAGTTCCGCCGCCTTTTGCGGGTGCAGTTGGTCGCCCGCCATAGAGTGCCAGAACCGTAGGTGATGGGCGGCCGCGTCGCTGGGCTCGGCATTCACTGCGCGAAGGAGTGGATGTGGGTGGGGCGAAAGGCGTTCGCGGCGGCATTATGGGGGCCTTGCGCGGGGGCAGCGCGAATCTTTTTCTCGCGCGGCACCGTGGGGATGTCGAGCAACTGGGCGGGGTGTCCGAGGACCGTGGTGACAGAGGCCCGGTGCACGCGCGCGTTGGAGTTTATCAGCGCAAGCGTCTGCCCGAACGCGGCCATCCTTAGCCGCCGCAGTGCGGCCGCAACTCGCCATTGGATGTCGTCATCCGCCTCGGGCCCCACATGCGCCCGCAAATAGCGGTCTTCGCCCGCAGTCTTGAAGGGGGCGAGTCGGGGGTGTTCAGCATGAGGTGCTCGTGGATCTTGCACCTGGCGTTGTCGTCCAGCCGCGCCCGGAGCGGGGTGATGGCGCACTTCTTGGCATTGAGCCGCAGGTTGCCAAAACGCGCAGCTTGGATAAAGACGTGGTGCATCGGCTCGAAGAGACGTAGGTCCGCGAGGTGGGGCTGTAGGTCGTCGGCGCGCGCCGCCATGACTCTCCTCCTCGGTGGGCAGGACCTTCGCGATCGCACGGGCGATGATGTCCATCGTTATAGCGCAGACCGAGCCCGAGAGCGGGCGCCCCCGAGCGGCGCCAGTGTCCGCGGGGCAGTTGAGGTAGGTACCGCCGAGAAAAGTAATGCCGTGAGCCCGGCCGTCTGGCGCCCGAGAAACTCCCGAGAGGCTTGGATGGGGCCCCCGAGAAGCCTGATAGAGGCCCCCAGAGGGCCCCCAAGAGGCCCCCAAAAGGCCTCGCCCGTGGACTTCGCCCCTCTTCCCGGGGGGCGGCGGCGTGGCGTGGGCCTCTTGAATAGCGACGCCATGGACCACGTCCAAGTTACCCTCGCCATACTTGAACTGCCGTAGGGCGGAGAAGAGCAACTGTCGTCCCAGCCAGCGAAATGCGGCTGCGATGTCGAGAAGCACCTAACTTGGAGCCCAGCCCCCAGTGCGCTTTCGCCATCCTGCCATCCTGCCCCGCGAGGCCACAGTAACGATGTTGTTGCAGCAGTTGCGGCCGCGCGTGGGGCACCGCTGAATATGCTGCGCGCGCTGCTCGACCTGGCCGCGCATCTGCAGATTCAGGGCCGCCGCGACGATCCTGCTGTCTGTGTTTTCATTTCCGCGCGATGGGCCTCCAGTTGCTGGCCTCGCGAGTGCACGTGCTATTGCGTGCCTCCTCGAAGCTCTTGGGAATAAGCAAGGAGATGGAATCGTTAAAGGTGTAGGGCGCGTGGCCGCGCTCGAAGAGAATCCAAGTGAGGTCCTCCGAAATATCCAGCGCGCCCGGTGCAATGGACCACGAAAGGCAAGGAAGCCGGTCAGGTCGTGGAGCAGAGGCGCGAACTTGAAGCGCCACCGAGGACAGTGTCGCCGCCGATGGGATAGTGAGTCGTGGTGTTTCGATGTTGGGGGGCTGGCGGCGGCAGATGAACTGCTGCGCGCCGTGCTCGTCGACCTCCTTGTGGGGGAGATGGGGTGCCGATGCTGCTGGGGCGCGTCGGCCTGCTCCTCGGCCGTCTCGTCGATCTTCTGTTTCTGGGATGCAGATGCCCACGCGAGCGAGAACCCTAGATATAAGGAGCCCATGCGCACGCCCTCTTCTGCAAGGTAAGAACTAGTTTTTTGTCGGTGTGCGGCTTCGAGGCGTCGGCCATCTTGTCGGGCGCATCGGGCACCTGCGAGTGCGCGGTCTTTCCGTTTTTGCCCGCGCATGGTGAGTGCGTTTAGCGGCTGGATGGAATTCCTGCCGAGGTCTGTGGTCGCCGTGAGGGTGCGCGCTAAAGTCTCATCCTGACGCCGAATAACGCGCGAAATCGATCGTGACGTGACTAGCTGGGCCTCCGTGGCAAATTGGCCTTTGCGACCGCCAGGTCAGCGAAGGAGATGGTTGCGTGTCAGCCTCGCGGCCTCGGTCATGCTGTGTTTGATGTTGCACCGCTGGTGCCCAATCAAGACCTCGTCCATCCGCGAGTTGTCAGTCAGTGGCGTGTGGCGCTTCCTGTAGAATAATGCTTGGAGATGAAACCTGGAATGGGTAGGATATTTCCCGCCTTCGCCCTGGCCAGAGACGCGGCGCTAGTTGTGCGAGGCCGCTGAGTCGGTGGTTGCGAAGCTCAGCAGGCTCGGACAGCGCCCTCGGGTTCAACTGCAAATTGGGGTAGGGAAGTCGGGGCTTCGCGGCTCCCGGGGCGACCGCCAAGTTTTCGTGGGGGCGCCGGGAAACCTCGAGGAGGTCATGCTCGTTGGCATCTCGTAGTCTAGAGAAAAAAAAACGGGGTCCGATCACCAACCACAGGGGGGCACTATGGCGCGCCGCTGCCGCGGGGCGCTACAACTGGGCGGACTGCGTCGCAGAGGAGGGAACGCGACGACGGATGGTGTTCAAGGCGGGGGTGTTCTTCGCCAGTGTCTGCCCTGTCGGCCTCGCATCTCTGACCCTGGGGGCAAACTTCGCAATCGGCTTCTCCGGGCAATCGTCGCGGGCGTCACCTCCAATCAGCATGCCCAAATATTTGCAAGAGGGAGAGAGAGAGAGAGAGAGAGAGAGAGAGAGAGAGAAAGAGAGAGAGAGAGAAAGAGAGAGAGAGAGAGAGAGAGAAAGAGAGAGAGAGAGAGAGAGACAAAAAAAAGAAATAAAGAAAGAGAGAGAGAGAGAGAGATAGAGAGAGAGAGAGAGAGCGATCGATATATGTTAAATATATATATATTATATATATATATATATATAATATATATATATTTATAATATTATATATATATAGAGAGAGAGAGAGAGAGAGAGAGAGAGAGAGAGAGAGAGAGAGAGCGAGAAAAAGAAGAGGAATCCGCGCCCCCCGCCGAGCCAGGGCGCTCCGCCGACAGGGCGTCTATCAAGCGTTGCGGGTGCTCGGCAGACGGCGCCAGGAGACCGCGCGCAGCTTCCAGCTGCTGGATAGTGGAGGGCGGCAGCGCGACATTCGAGGGCGTTTGGCGAAGGCCATAGAGGCAGTCATCAGAATGCTTGAGCTCTATATGGGGGCCATTGTGACATCTGGCGCTGTTGCAAGCCGAAAGCGGCGCCGTCCCGAAACAGACGAGCGCCATCGATGCAGGGCCCATCCAGCGAACGCCACGAGCGACATCCATCGCGGCGCGCGCCCTGTCTGGTGTCAATTTCATCGCCGAGTTATCCGAGCTGAACGCGCGGGAGAAATCGCCAATGAATTTTGGGCCCCCCATCGTCGCCCGGGCCTCTAGGAGCCACCGATCGTAATCGAGGGGAAGGTGGCGGCGATAGTCCGTCAGGACGAAAGAGCTATCATCGATACCTTGCGCATGCCCGGCCAACGCCCAAGCTTCGGCCGGCGCAATGACCAGCCATGCCGTGGCCAGACTTGCAAACTTGCGACTCTGGAACAACCGGTTGGGCTACTCCTTTCAGCGGGTGGCGCATGCGCGCGCGTGAGCTTGGCATCAGTGTTGGACATGGACAGCGCGTGGGTATTTTCTGGGGTCCTGAACCTGGTTCCCAGCGCCCTCCTGAGCTTCGCCCTTGGAGGGTGGCGGCCGTCGGCGCCTCGGGCGTCGGAGGCGAGGGGGCAGAATCGCAATGGAACGGAGGGCCCAAGGAAAATCAGTTTCGCCTTCGCGTCGCGCGCGCGGGCGAGGCGAAGCTGCGTGGCCGGGCGAAAGGAGCGGGCACTCCTCTGGCCAGGGCGCCGCCGGGCCAAGAGACCGCCTCCCGCGGGGGCGCCCCGCGAGTGTCGCGCTGGTGTCCCGTAGTGAGATCGATAATTAAATCGATCGTGAGACCGATGGCGGGATTCATTGTATGACCGACAATGAGATCGATGGTGAGATGGATAGCGGGACCGACAGCGTCTTTGACCATGCAATGAATCGTGAGATCGATCGCGAGACCGACCATGAGATCGACAACGAGTTGGGTAACCTTTTCGACTATGGCATCAACGGCGCAAGGGATAGCGACATCCATTCTAAGGACGGTAGTGAGATCGGTCGTGAGATCGGTAGCGGGGTCGTTGTGAGATCGAAAATGAGATCGATCGCGGGATCGATCGTGAGATCGAAAGTGATTTCGGTAGTGAATTCGGCAGCGAGGTCGATCGTAATCTCGATAGTAATATCAATCGTGGGATCGATTGTGAGAACGATGATGAGATCGAATGTGAAATCGTTTGTCAGGGCGCTCGTGGGACGGTTCGTGGCAAGCTGAGAGCGATCGTGAGATCGATGGCGAGATCGGTCGTGGGATCGACCGTATGCGATCGAGAGATCGGCCGATAACGGGATCGATTCCGGCATCGATGACTCGATCGATCGCGGGATCGATAGCGAGATCGATCGCGGGATCGATCGTTCTGTCGATGGTGAGATCGATCGCGCGATCGATTTTGAGGTCGATCGCGTTACCGATGCTGAGATCGCACGAGTGAAACGTTTGCTCCTCCCGCCCCCCGCGCGAGCCCCCCTGTCGCCCGACGGGTGGTCGTCTAGGCATCTGTCGGGAGAGACGCGTGCGTCGCCGCGCAGATTGTTCTGGGCGCGCCCGAGTAGACGCCGGCGCCGCGGGGAACCCGCGGCGAACGCTGCGTCCGAAATAGAATCTGCCCCGGCAGCCGAGGCGCTCTCAGAGACAGCAGGCCGCGCGTCGAAACACGCGGCGCGCCGGTGTGTGCGCGCGTGCATTTGCGCCTGGGAGAGGTCGCGGCGGGGGCGGCGGGGCCCGCGGGGCATCTCCAATTCGCCCGCAGACGCATGGGGCGCAATCCGGGCAGTGCACGCTGCGCCCGCGCTCTCCAACGACGCCCTGAAAGAACGCGGGACATTCAATCGCCCGCGTCGCCGCCGCCCCCGAGGGAACCATTCGGACAGAACGCTCGAGCTCGGGCCGCTGGGGTCAGGCCTCCTGCATTCCGAAGAAGTCTCGCCCCCAGTGCAGCCTCGAAGTCTCGGCGGGACTTTCTGGAGCGTGGCGAGGGCGTCGACCGCTCCATCGGGCCGGGTGCGCCGACGAACGCTCGGTGGCGCTCCCGCTTCTCCTCCTGCCCAACCCTCTGAAAACCGCCCGGGGGCTCCTGCTCCAGTCCGAGCGACTCAGCGTCGAGAACCTTCGAGTAGAGCTCGCGCGCGCGCTGGCAGCGAGGAAACACGTCGTCGCATTCGACAGTCGTTTCATCCATGCGTTCAGCCAATTGAAAATAAAAGCTGGCTGTTTATCGTTTCATCTCATCTTCTGATGGCGACGGCGTCGAAGGGCTGGCGCAGACAAGCGGTGAGAGTCTCCCCGGGTTCTTGCAGCGTGAAACTTAGTGCGGCAGCGAGCGCGTGTGGCAGCAGAGTGCATGCAATCTCTAGAGTATGCAAGATGTTCTGCTCTGCCCTCAGAGGCAGGCGGTGAAGCGCGAGCTTGTCCAGTCTTTTCAGCCATCCAAGAGACTCGGCAATCCGCGAGGGCATGTTCCTGTTCTCGCTCCTGTCAAGACAGTGCATAATAA